AGAAGGGGGTGGGGTGGGGGGAGGGTACCGTCTGGACCTACTGGACACGAGGGTGTCGAACGCGCTCATGTAGCCCCGGTAGACGCTCCAGACGTACATGCCGATGCGCAGCAAGACGACCGTGGCGGTGCACAGCGACAACACGACCCGTGGCGACGACCAGAAGAACCTGTGAGGTTCACGCGACGAGTTGTTATGGCACCAGTTACACGTTAGTTATGAGATTCCGGTCAAACGTAAACACTTACAGGGGCAGGGCGTCGACGGCGCATGAGACGGGCAGGATGCCGATGATGTGCCCCGTGACAATGAGGTGGCCGATGACGGCCCGGAACGAGTTGGGCGCGGGCTTGGTGGTGAGAAGCTCGTCGTCGACGGGGTCGGCGACCGGGGTCGTCGTCGGCCGGCCGGCGTCGAGCTTCCAGCACTGGACTGGGGACACAGAGCGTGGAGTCACAATCTTTTTAAAACAGACGGCCATCGTCAGCGTCAGACACATGACGGCTCCTTACTCACACTGGCTCAGGTGGTGCATGCCCGGGGGAGGCGCCAGCGCCAGCACCCTGCCCGGGCGCGGCCTGCCGCCCAACTTCTTGGACACGACGCGGAAGGCGGAGGGCAGTTTGGCCGCCTGCTGTCGATACCGAGCGAGGGGCCGGCTGGCAGACGGCATCTCGAGCACAATCACGCCGTCAGCAGAAACGAGCGAGCACGCTCGCATTCGATCGGACTCGAACGAAGAACGGTCAACTGCGGGCAATCGCTCCGCCGGCGACGGCCCGCCGCCATCGCGGCCGCGAGGTTGGGGCGTGGCCGACGACAACACGCGGGAAGTTGGAAACTGCTCGCCCTCGCGGACGATGGCGACGCTCCCGCGGCCACCCCCGGCCCAATAAGGCCCCGGCGTGACCGGCCACAACAGCATGTGTGAGGTGCGGTGATGCCACGTGCGATAACTTTGCGGGTAAACAACTCGTCTCTAGACTCGCGCGCCGGTGTTTGTGCTCGTCAGGGGGGGGGGGGCGTGCCGCTGAGGGTCGACAAACACCACGGTTTTCGTCCTGCGCGCGCGCGCGGCACCGGCAGCGGCGGCGTCGAGAATGTGATGAATGTTCGTACCATTAATTGCCTGCAGTCAGCGCCCCAAGCCAAACCAGAATCTGCGCGTCGCCGGTCCGGTCGCCACACAGTAACAGTAATGCCCACGTCAGTGTTGACACGCCAAGGGATGCCTGCCCGGGGGAGGCGGGGGTGGGGAGGGGTCATTTTATTTACAGACTACACACGCTCCACACACGTCTAAGAATACACTGCAAACCCAAATAGAGCACTTAGTCGGACACACCAACAGGAATAATGTACTTGGAAGCACACACAGTAAGTACACTTCTTGTGTTTTCTATGGTGCGTACACTCGTTGGGCGCACCAGAAAGCCCACACTTGTATGTGTGTGCTGGCAAGTCGAATCTTCCTCAGGTATACTAAGCGCACTGTTTGCATTATAATTATTGTAAGTAGAACCCGGACTTCAGTGTGCACAACTTAGTTGAGATACAATGATACAATATTGTATAACTCACAATACACAGTTACTGTTAACTAGTTGTTAAGACATCTAAACTCAGTTATGCCTGCACACAGGAAGTGCGGTGCTAGTTACAATAATTGTCCGTGGTCATTTACAGTATAGAAAGAGTGGGGTGTATGAGGAAAAAGCTAAGCTGCCCGTTCCAATTCGTCAATGTCCGTTTGCGACAACAACAGAGCCCTCCGATTCCCCCCCCCCCCGCCACGCGTGCCGTGCACCGCGTGTTTCTCTTCTCTCGCTGCTAATGGGCGCGGCCTTGTCGTGATCGGCCCCAGCGCCGCTGTGCGTCAAGAGCTGAAATTGGAAATACGTACCGCCGCGTCGCCACTCACTAATCGCCACCTCCCAACCTCTCCCTCACCTTCCTTCCTCATTTATATTGTTTCTTTCACACCGACAGTCCCATGACGCCTGCGAACCACAGGGTAGGCCACCAGCTCAAACTACGTGGCCGTGTATTGCCTACCCACCAGGCGCCTCAACTAATCAATTACTTTCCACAAAGCCAATTTAAATTGTTGTGACGCACAACCCTAGAATGCCCCCCCCCCCTCCTAACACACACAAACAAACACAAATCACTCCAGGCTGACGCAAAGGTGCAACGAAATTTCTAGACATGGAGTTTCACTTGTTGTGGCTTTGGCACTCACGTTTTTTTTATTTACACGAAAACAAAATAAAGTCTGATATGTGCTCAATCGCTTTAGAGGGCAATATTTTGCTGCTGTGCAAAATATGTAAAAGTTGCGCGCGAGGCGCCTCACAAACAGTAAAAGCCATAAGCTGAAAATTATGTCTGAGATCTCGGAGTGATGTTAAAAATAATGGCAATTCTTTGCTATTTATTTTCTAACGTGTATCTGCAGAAGTATCACTTCGTATGTTGCCATGGTCCCGGCCACCTGGAAGAACAGCGAAAACACTTACTTTTGCAATGTCCGACCCACCGACTGTATTGCATGGAAACAGTCAATCACAAGCTTTCTGAATGAACACTGACTGTCAATATGAAGGACCGTGTTATTCGGAAGAAGTTGTAGCCCGTCAGGAACATTTCGTCGTTGGCGGCCTGCTCCAGCAAGCGATGGACCTGGGAAGTCAAAACGAAAGAATGATTGTGTTCGCTCGTTGCAATACCTTCCCAAGCGACAAGTAGGGGCTACCCACCTCAGGGCAGTAGGAACGCTCCGAAACGGAATAAAGAAACGTCTTGCACAGCTTGCTCTGGTCGTTTACGGAGGCGGCGAAGAACGAAACGGCTAGGGTACGCATCAAGACGTAGCCAAAAGTACCGATGTGATATATATGTCGCCAAAGGCCGTCGTCACTGGAAGCTCTAAAACAAAAATATTTTTTTCTCATAACATGAAGAAACATTTGATTAAATCTAACCTGAGGATTTTTACCTTAAAAAATAGAGAAGCTGGAAGCATATGTAAAACAAGTTTCGAACAAACGTCATGAGAATGTTGCCACTGATGAAGCGGTCGACATCGTTGGTCAGCCTGGCGAGAGCGTCGTACGAGTATCGCGCATCCTCCCAAAAATATTTATCCTTATTCTTTAAAG